ACAGCCTGCAGGTTCTGGTAATCAGAGAGGAGTTAAGCTCTCATTAATTCACCGTCTTTGATCAGATTCATTAAATATGGATCCAGTGTGTGAGAGTGAGTGTTTAGAGCGAGCTGTGTTAGTGAAGCTCTCTCGCCCGAGGCCTTCCTCTCTGATATTTAAAGTCTTTGTGTGTCTGAACTCTGCAGATTAAAAACACATCAAAACACCTGCAGAGCTACACGGGCACCAGCTCTGTCCAGCACGTTTCCGTGAGCGTGCACAGCGCGGCGCTGAGGTTGTGACCTCACTGCAGTGGTGGTTTGTGGGAAAAACAGACACGAGACTCTGCAGGAATCACGAAACGCCTGCTGCACACCAGAGGATGCTAAAAAAAAAACTCACCGGCTGCTGCAGGTTTGTGATCTGTTCCGGCTCGGGAACGCCCCCGCAGAGGTCGCCAGCTTTAGAAAACAGACGCTTCTAACAGCGGAACCTCCCTGAGAGTCATCACGCTTTAACTGTTCTGTTTCAAAAAACTGATGCAGCTACGACCTGCGGGGTCACGTGACCGACGGAGGCTAGACTTTCAGCAGCCTTGTGCGCTTGAACTGTAGAAGAACGCAAACCGAGAAGAAGCTCGTTAAACGAACGGAACGTTAATAACACGCAGTAAATCTGTTAAATCAGTCTTTCACCTCCGATTCTGACTTAAAGACTGCTGGTCACCTGACCAGACTTTTAAAACCAGCTGAGGATTTCTGTGAAGGTTCTCATTCATCCAGATCAGAGTTCCCCAAGGAAGGTTTAAATCACGGGCAGCTGGACTTGGTTAACCCTTTAAGACCTGCGGCGTCCTCTACAAAACTCTCCAAACCCTGCGGGTTTCTGAAGCAGACAGACACATGAAATAAAAACCATTTGGCTTTTATTGGAAATGACTGCATTTGCCCTTGTGTTCATTCACATTTAAAAAAAAAAGTGTTGAAAAAGCTCCTTGCCAGCAGTCCACAGTGACACAGTTTCATTTCTTTCACCAACAGGTGTTCACGTACTGCCGGAGGGAGTTTCTCTCCTGCTTTGTTTCACATTTGAATTTGTGTCGGTCAACCGAAACCCTCCCCCTCAAACACGTCGCTCACCCACGGACTCTCGGCTAGCGGCTCAGCAGTCACATAATCTTCTAATTTGTTGTTGTTTTCGTGCTCGCAGCCTTCTCTCCGCTTTGGAAACCTTTGGTCCACGCAGAGGCTAAAAACATGTTTCAAATACAAATCCCATAATGCCCCGCCCCCCCCCGCGGTATTTCAGCGGTTCAGTGATGACATCTGATAAAACATGCACCGTGTCGCATGCGGTCTCAAAGGGTTAAACACACTGAAAGGCGCCTCTCACGTGACGACCTTCGACCTCGTCATCGTTCCAGGTAAAACCAGAGTCGGATCCAGATCCCAGTACTTACCTGCGGAACTTGTCCCTCATCTTGTCGAGGTCGTCTCGGGTCCGGCTGAGCTCCGCCTCCATGTAGTGACGGCTGCCGTCAAACTCCGCCTCCATGGCCTCCATCTTGTGGGTGGAGAGAGAGAGGCGGCGCTGCAGGTCCTCATTCTGCTGCTGGAGGATTCTGGGTAACATGAAGAGGGGTCAGAGGATCTGTTATCTAATATCTACTAATCGTTTGTCCAGTACAGTAAAGTTTTAAAGTACTTTACTAGAGTATTTCCATTTTATTCTACTTTGTACTTCTACTCGTTCTCAGAGGCAAATATCTTTACTTCACTATCTGATAAACGACCGCGTGTTACTGCAGACGAAGCTGCCAGCAGAATACGAAGTGATTTCAATGAGCTTCACCACCTGCAGCTTTAAATACACTAAAACTTACATTAATACCTCTGAACCACCCGGTTTCTATTTGGGACAAGACTTTAAATTCTTTTGCACAAAACTCAGCAAAGACGGGAAACAGGCCGCTGCCAGACCGCTTATTTAAACCAGCGGGAATATAACTTAAAAATTAGGTTTCTTTCATCTCGGTTGTCGACTGTCAACTGAACGATTGAACGGCGGAGAAGCTAACGACGTGCTGCAGGTCCACACTGACAAAAGTTCAAACATTTATATTGGTCAGCTGAGCTCACGCGGGTGACCTGCTGGGCTTTAACAGGTTTTATACATCCAGAGAACTTCTACAAAAACAGGCTGTGAGACCTGTGTTTATTTGTCTAAACGTTTGGCTGCACCACGTAAGTAACGGGACAGGCGTCAAAGCCGCTCCCACGCCATAGTACCAGCTCCACTCGACTGTTTCCCACCGTTTAGCTGCTCAGGTTGTTTTAGTTTAGGGTTCATTCGGTGTCGACCGTTCAGGAGGTTTCTACCGGAAGCTGGATCACCACCGAGGTCGTCTCCTCTCCAGAACAAAGGCCACGTCCACACTACTCCGTTTTAGTTTAGAAACGGAGAATTAAAAAGAACACGATCTCCGTCCACAGCAGCGTTTTAGCTGCGAGTTGATCTACATTAAAACGACTGAAAGCGCACAGCTAGCGGCCGTTCACGTACTCTGGGCGTGCGCCTGCCGGGGTAAACAGGAAGCAGATGGTCTGTTCCGTAGTTACAGAAGACTTTGCAGAACTTTATTCTTTCTTTCGACGAAGAACCGCACCAGATTTTAATTGCATGGACCAATAAGGGGCTGGGACTGATACTGAATGTAACACGGGAGTTTAAAGCGGCGGAAAAACAAACTGAGTAAGTATTATTTGTACGGTACAGAATTTTAATAAAAATACCAAACTAAAACTCTGTCAGCAGCATCGTGTTTCTACTTTGCATGACTGATAAGAGCCAGTCAGAGAGCCGAGCGTCATCGCTTCTAAAGTCCTCCGTTTTTGTCGGTCTTCACAAAAACGCCCTCCGGGTTTTGAAACACAAAGCGGGTCTGCGGCGTTTCCAATCTTCTCCATTTTAGGTCTTCGTTTTCGCCGTTTTAGTCTGGACGGGAGGAGCCAACATAGCAGAAGGTCTCCGTTTAGAACCAAAGCGCAGCAGTGTGGGCGGGGCCTGACAGACCCGCTCATTAAAACGTTAAAGACACAGAATAAAGCAGTTTCATCCTGAAACGTCGGCGTCTCTTCGGAGGACACTGGGCGTCAGCGAGCCGACGGCTGGAAATGTTTTAATGTGCGTCAGTCTTACGAAGAACCGGGACTTTTAATGAGCCGTTTCTTTTCCGTTCCTCTCTCTCGTTGGCTTTATCCCGTTTGTTGTTGAATGTTTAATGAACTTTGTCTCTTCATTAAACTCCCACAAGATTACATCACAGCATCGTTATGATGAGCAGCTACGTCGGGTGGGTTCTTTATAAGAAGTGAGTTGAGCTGCGGTGGAAAAGGGGAATAATAACTTTAAAAGCTTTCACGTCTTTGTTTGTGTTGAAACCTTCATTGGAAGAAGTTCTGAGATGTTTTACTTCAGTAATAAGACCGTGTATAAATACTGTTTTCAGCCTGAAACCTGGACAAACCGGGTGAAAGAGGTGGAGAGTGTGACTGTGGAAACGCTTATTAATAATTAATAACAGTTCACTGGAGGCTGCAGCTGGCAGCAGCCTGCGTTTATTTGTTGCTGCCGCGTCTGTTATTTGTCTTTTGAACCGGCGGGATCAGAAGAAGACGAGCTGACGGGAATAGAAGAGAGCCTCACCTGATCCTGTCAGAGTCTGATAACGCCTCCTGAAACAGAACAAACAGAGTCAGAACAGAAAACAACACGACCAGAGGAAACATTCTGCTGCCGTGACGTGAAGACGGCCGGTTACAATACGGAAAGGATCTTTGTTTGTGAGGGCGGCAGGAACAACATCACTAAAACGGTTTTATTCCATCAATAGTAGAAACAGGAGTGAACAGGAGGAACACTGAGCAGGCGAAGGGGATAAACAGGGAACAGGGCAGGTGAGACGTCCTCATAAAACACAGTTCCAGGAACATTTAGATAAAAATCATCCCCATGCACCCCGGAACTTAAACTTTGACTAGGGTCGGGTATCGAGCAGATTTCCTGCGGACTCAGATGAGACAAGTCCACCGAAGAGACGCCCCTCTAGGACAGAGACTCCTTTCACTTTAGAGACATGAAGGGGGGAGGAGGAGGAGGAGGAGGGAGATCTGTGCTGAAGGAACCAGAACCGAGAGTCCATAAGAACTGGGTTCAATAAGTAGAGTCAGAAACGATTCCCAACCCTGACTCCTCACGTTTCCAGCTTCTGATGGTCTGAGCTGATAAAATTGTTGTATCATCATCATCAGAGTCTCCTCCAATGAGCTCACAGCAACGAGCTTAACGAGCAGCAGCCAGCTGGAGGTTTTGGATGGTTGGTCGGACAAAACATCTGGAGACGTCACTAAAGTTCTCCAACGTTTTATCGAACAATTAACCCTTTCGTGCATGAATTACTAAATAGCAAAGAAGGGCTGGACAATAAAATGATAATAATTATCGCAATATATTTTTTCCAATATCAAAATAACAAATGTTTAATAAATGTTTGATTTTATTCACTTGAATCAGATACAAAGATGTTTATTTTGTTGAGGAAAAAGAAGTGAAAAAAGCTTTTAGTTAATTTTACTCGTGCATATATTTGTTGACAAAGATTTTAATCAGAATTGTTTTGAATGTTCTGCCTCAGATCTGTGAAGTGATCCGCTGTCTGGCCTCAAGTGTTTTGACTATAAAGAAGAGTTTAAATTAACCATCAGCTTTCACTCAGAAGCAGAAATCAGCCTTTAAACTCAAAAGAAATTTGATATTTATCGTGATGATCATCGATATCGAAAGATATGAAACTTTTAATCGTGATAACATATCGTCCAGCTCTATCACAATTTATTATTAATGTTTGTTTTTACTTTTAAACAAATGATAAAATGTGCCTTTAAACTTCCCCCAGAAATATTTTGAAATGCATCAACGGCCTGAAAAATGATTCAATGGATTTCAATAAGTCCAAAAAACTATGTTATCAAAACATTTAATAAAAGCAAGTGGTATAAATGCAAAGTTATTCACGTGCAAATTAGATCATAATTTTAAATAAACCCTTGTTGAACAAGATGTAAAATAAA